TAATTATAATCATAATGCTCATACAAGGGTACTTCATAAAGATTGTGGAAGAATAGAATTAAAAGATAATACGAATCTTCCCGTGAAATTTTTGAAGCATCTTCCTACATGCCAGATGTTGGTTTCTACATACCGTTTTCCAACAAAAAGAACCAGGGCCCCTCGGAGGAATGGATGAGTCTAGGGCTGCGGCATCTTGTAGTGCCAGAAAGTAAGAAAGTGCCCCCAAACCCACAACGAAAGGATGGAGACATGTCAGAGAGACAGAGGAGCTAAATGAAAGAGTTTGCAGTGGCCAAAGCTGATAGAACTGAAGCAAGAAAATAAATACACGGTGTTGGATTGCAACCCAAGTGCTCGGGAGTCCACACTGGTGCAAATTAGTAACTGAATAAACAAATAAATAGAGAAGACATAAATCTTCCCTGTAGAAGCTATTCCGTCTCTCCTGGAGGTGTGGGGCTTAGTGCTCATTCCCAGTAACCAAGTGAGGACAGTTGATGTCCCAGTGATGCCACGTGGCCACCACGTACCCCCGACATTGCAATGTGGAGGTTCCTCACCTCTGTGGTGTTCTTCCTCCAAAAGTGTAACCCCAGTTGAGAAAAACAGGTAAATGTGAATTGAGGACTTTCTATAAAGCACCCAATCAGTACTCCAAAACTGTCAAGGTCATCCAAAAGAGGAAGTCTGAGAAATGGTCCCAGGGACTAAGGAGACATGACAGCTAAATATGATGTGTCTCCTGGTTGGGATTCTGGGGCAGGAAAAGGCCACTGGGAGAAACTGATGAAATCCAAATAAAGTGTTGAGTTTAATTCACAGTCACGTGCCAGTGCTGGTTTCCTAGTTTTGGCAAGTTACCATGGTGACGTAAGAGTTAACAGCAGAGGAGACCGGGTGAGAGGTCCAAGGGAACTCTGTGTGCTATCTTCGTGACTTTCCTGTAAATCTAAAATTGTTCCACGATTACAAAGTTTACTTTTAAAATGCTCATATAATGTTTACTATGTGCCAGGCACTGTACTAAGTGCAGTCACGTATCACCTCATGACAGGGATACCTTCTGAGAACTGTGTCATTAGGAGATTTTGGCATTGGGCAAACATCATAGTGTACCAGCACAGACCGGGACAGCATCACCTACCGCACACCTAGGCCATCATGGTGCTACGACACTAGGGCTACGATGTCACTTAGTGATAGGAATTTTTCAGCTCCGTAATAATCTTATGGCACCATCACTGTATATGCGGTTCGACATTGACCAAAACGTAGTTATGTGGCACGACTGTACTTTACATGTGTTACCTCATTGACGTGGCTATCAGGTCATTTCACTGTCCCTATTTTCCAGATGAGGAAACCGAGGCACAGAGAGGCTACACAGAGCTGGCATTCAAATCCAGGTAGTTTGGTGTCAAGGTCCAAATGTGGCTCACATTTTCCCAGTACTGCAGCTGCTGCTGCTTCTTTTTTTTTGTTTTTTTCGTTACCGGTAAGGGGATCGCAACCCTTGGTGTGGTGTCGCCCACACCGTGCTCAGCCAGTGAGCGCACTGGCCATTCCTACACAGGATCCAAACCCACGTAAGGGGATCGCAACCCTTGGTGTGGTGTCGCCCACACCGCGGTAAGGGGATCGCAACCCTTGGTGTGGTGTCGCCCACACCGCGCTCAGCCAGTGAGTGCACTGGCCATTCCTACACAGGATCCAAACCCACAGCGGGAGCGTCGCCGCGCTCCCAGTGCCGCAACCCTTGGTGTGGTGTCGCCCACACCGTGCTCAGCCAGTGAGCGCACTGGCCATTCCTACACAGGATCCGAACCCACAGCAGGAGCGTAGTCGCGCTCCCAGTGCTGCACTCTCCCGAGTGCACCATGGGCTTGGCCCATGCTTCTTGAGCATTTACCACGGATGAGNACCCTTGGTGTGGTGTCGCCCACACCGTGCTCAGCCAGTGAGCGCACTGGCCATTCCTACACAGGATCCGAACCCACAGCAGGAGCGTAGTCGCGCTCCCAGTGCTGCACTCTCCCGAGTGCACCATGGGCTTGGCCCATGCTTCTTGAGCATTTACCACGGATGAGGGAAAGAGGATGGAGTCAGAGAGACAGGGAGGACGCAGGGCATGGCGTTTGCAGCCCAGCACCGGGGCGGGCAGAGAGGCACATTCCTGTGCCGTGTCAGAGGCTGACTCAGGAAGACGGGTGACCAGGGCCGTGGGAGGAGGGAGAGCTCAGAGATGGGTTGGCTGAGGTTTCTGTGCCTAGATGCCTGGGTGGCGCCTTTCACTCAGACCTGTTGAGGGCTGAAGAAATAGGCTTGGGAGAGGTGGGCAGGGAGGGGAGATGACAGATCGTCGTTTCTGATGAGGTGGCACAGTGACGTGCAGTGGGCCTGGCCCAGGCTGCTAGTTCTGCCACTCACCAGCTACGTGACTTCAGAGATGTTACTTAACCTCTCTGGGCCTCAGTTTCATCATCTATAAAATGCGGGAGTAACAGTACCTTTCTCATGGATGTGTTGCCAGTGTCGAAGTAATTTTATACATGTGAAGTGCTTGAACAGAACCTGGCATGTACAAAAGATCCAATCAATGTTGGCATGATTATTGAACTTGAATTCCTTGTCAGACGTGGGCTTAATAGTCGACATAACTGTTATTTATTGAACCTGGTACTACGGTCAGTGCCTCACACATGCTAACTCATTTAGCATTGAGTGCAACATGCAGGGTAGGCACTGCTATTATGTATTTTATGGAGGAGGAAAACTGAAGCACAGGAAGATTAAGAAACTTGCTGAAGGTCACACAGCTTGTTAAGACAGAGCCAGGATTAGCGCTCAGTGGTCTCACCCAGATCCCAAGCCCTGACCTCTTCAGTAAACTGACTTCCCAGCCGCAACCACACCAGGCATGCTGTCTGCCCATCAGCCAGTTAGATCCCCGTGTTCTGCTAATGGCTCCTCAGAGTCCTTTTGGGGACCATCAGTCCTTCACCCTCAGTCCATATGACCATAATGGGCCTCCCTTTGGAGGGTGCGCTGTTGGCAGCAGGCACACCATGCCCAGCCCATCCAGCCCAGCCAGGCTGCCTCCAGCACTGGGCCAGACAATGGAGCAGCTGGTTCAGCATGGGGGCTGTGTTGTAGCCTGAGAACTGTGTCATTAGAACTGTGTCACACACATGTGCATTGAACACAGGGATCCTGCTTGGTGGGGAGGGACCTGACAGCTGATGCCAGCTTCCCACCTCTCTCGTGCTCCAGGGCATGCTCTCATGGAGCAGATGGGCCATATATTTGAAATTACTGTGTTACATTTCTCTTTCAGCTGAGCAGGTAAAAATGGATTTGCTTGTGGACCTTCCCTTAGTCCGCTGGGTATCACTGGCTTATGGCAGGACTGCCAGGAATGGCCTGAATAAAGGTCCCTGGCCAGGAGAGTGGGACTAAAATCCAGCCTGCAACCAGCTAGCCAAGTGGAGGCCCGCAAGGCAGGACATGTGCCATCAGCAGGGCACCATCTCGTAGTTCTCCCACCTGTAGGGCCACCTTCTTCCAGTCCACACAATGGGTCCTACTTGGTGGGCCCTGATTCTTGGACATATGTGCAAAATGTCTTCCCAAGAGTGCCTGTGTATTTGGGGGAGAGTGGATCCATAGCTTTCAGCAGACTCTCAAAAGAGGTTCCCAGAGGTTCCTGAAGGTTCCTGAGTGGAGGAAGCTGGGCTGAGGCCACAGTCCCTAGGAGGGCAAGCCAGGAAGCTGGTCACACACCCAAAGCTCAAGGCTAAGCCAAAGACCTTTTCTTTTTTTTCTAAGATGACCGGTAAGGGGATCTTAACCCTTGACTTGGTGTTGTCAGCACCATGCTCACCCAGTGAGCTAACTGGCCATCCCTATGTGGGATCCGAACCCTTGGCCTTGGTGTTATCAGCACCGCACTCTCCCGAGTGAGCCACAGGGCCGGCCCCAAAGACCTTTTCTACAGAAGACTGAAGTGTGAGATTTTGGAGTCCAGTCCAGGAGGACACCAGCAAATCACAGAAACTGGACTGGCCGAAGTCTGTGGGTGTGTCTACCCACCACAGCCAGAGGCTCGGCCACGAGGCCAGGGAGGGGGCCTGAGCTGGGCAGTCCTGCCTGTGCCCAGCCTCCCTTCCCACGTGCTCATGCCCAGTGAGCCAGCGGAGCACCAGAGACGGGACAAACTTGGTGCCTAGGCCCAGGCTTTGTTGTCAGGAGCCAGGAGGTGGGGGAGGTGGGAATCCATGGGGCAGCAGTGAGGGCCAGGCTCTCTGGGTTAGCATGACTCACATCCTGCCAGTCCCTCAGCATCGGGGGTTGTTAAGGAAAAGTAATATTTACAGTGACACCTACATAGCCTTGTTCTAGCTGGTGAGATGAGCCCACCCATCTACTCTCCACAGTATCTCTATGAGGTGGGTACGATGACTGTCCCTGTTTTAGAGATGAGAAAACTGGGGTGGTGGGTGCGGGGCTGCCCACCTCGATATCCCCAGCTGCTGGGTGTGGGAGGCTAACAGCTCACAGTCACTCCTTCTCCCACCCCCATGTCTGGGAAGTTGGGAGACCCACCCCATCCTCTCAGGGGTGGCCACAGCCAGTGACGGATGGACACATTACAAAAGGCCAGGCCCCTCTGTCAAGGGAGGACAACTCTGTGGTACAGCAGATGCTCCAGACCCTCCCATGGGTCAGGCCAACTCTAGACGTCACCTGAAAAGACATCCTTGCTTAGCTTTTTCCTCCTTTCCTTAGAGACTTTTCCTAAAGTGATTTCCTCGAAGCACGATGAGTCCCAGGCTTTGCCTCCAGGAAACCCGACCTGACACCAAGGCACAGAAAAGCATGTGTAGACAGCTGGTGAATGGCCACGTGGGATTTGAACCCTGGCAGGCTGAGCTCCTAACCAGAATGCCCACTGCCTCTCAGAGCAGAGGGCTGGCGGGCGGGCAAGGGGTGGCTCTCACCGGTAGCTGCAGGGCTCTGCCCCGAACAGGCAGGCCAGGATCATCCGCTCCGCAAGGTAGCCCATCCGCACCAGCTCCTGCTGCGGCACCTGCGAGAATATGTTGGTGGCCTGCAGGGCGTACCACTCTGTCACGGCCTGGGCGGCGCTGGTGAAGTTCCGGAAGGTGCACATGGTCCCATTGATGCTGCACTGTGGGGGCCAAGAGGAGTTCCTGTGGGTGCGGGGGCTGCTGGCAGGGCAAGGGCAGTGCTCTCCCAGGCGCCCCTCTGGCTGCATCTTGGCAATAGCACAAGTGTTCACACCCTCACTCATGTATGTTCATGGGCCGCCACCTCCCAGCCAGCTGTCAGTCACAAGAACTTGTATATAGCCACCAGGAACCCCCCCCCCCC